TGCCTATAAGTTTCTTTCCCCAGATCTTTTCATGGTGGTTCCTGTTAGCCTCTCAGAGTGAGCTTTCCTTGATCATCTTATCTGAAATAACGTCCCATGTTATGCTCCTTGAGCACTTCTTCATACTATCATTATCTCAGGTCATCTTATTTATGTTTTTTTTTTTTTTTACATCAGGGTATAATCTTCATGATGACTCTTGCTCTCTCCTATACTGTAGTGCTTAGATTAGCGCTTAATAAATATTTGTTGAGTGACTGCTTGTAGCTGGGAGAAGAGCCAGGCAAGAGATCTATTAGCGAGAAAGTGTGCAGTAGCTAGAGAGATATTTGAAATGAACTGGAACAGGAGTCTTGACTGATGGAGATTATCCGAGAAGCCAGACAAAGTAAGTAACTATGGAATTAGGAACTCTCTGATGCTTCCAAATTGGAGAGCACAGATTTTTGTCTGGATTGGAGTAGTCCCAGGAAAACAGAAATGACTTATTATCCTACTGGAAGAACAGCCCTTAGCACAGAGTAACATTAGGTGTTCATGGTGGTTGCTATAAATTTGCTTTCTGAGGTTGTCCTTTCAGCTCAGTGTAGGGCAGAGTAGCCCTCTGGACTCACCCCGTCATTCCCTTCATTTTAAGAACATAATAACTAGAGAAAGCCTCTGGGGTGCTGACAGTCAGTTTACACTCTACCCATTGATTACAGATGCTTGGTGATACACCCTTTGCTGTCTCTTTGCTTCGAGATGCAAAGCGTGATAGCATGCCATATTTAACTATGATTGTCTTTAAATATTTGGGATTAATTGGAAAATTGTGTTCTTGCTTGTATGACACCCCACATTTGCAATGTGGAAATGAGCAAACATACTCGTGAACTCTTACCATATCCCATGCGGTTATTAGCCATTGAATTTATGGAGTCCTGGCAGTATATGATTAAAACCCTAGAGATAGACAGTATTCTCCTATTCCCTGACGCCAAGGAAAATGAGCGTTCACTTTCACAAATTCAGCATGGTAATTTTGTGCCTTTAGATGGGGATTATACACACACCACAATTCTAGAGAAAACTTAGGAGGTTAAAAAAACCTTTCAACAATGACAGGTTTCGGAAGCGTAATTCCGTGATGAATGGCTGTGCAAAACACTGTTTACAAACATACAGGTAAATTCTCCTCTGAGAGTGGAATGAAGTCTGTATTATGACAGCTTGGCTTTATAGAGCATAGAAAGATGAAAACTGCTTGGAAGAGATGAAATTATTGTTTCTCAGCTTATTGCCCCAGCCCTCCGACCTTGTCCTGGGATGACATTGAAGCCGTTCATTTATGCAAAAGCCATTTTCATGTTTTCACAGAACCAAGCAAGTGTGTACAGATGGGTTCAGACTCTTGAGACCTGGGGAGAGATGCTTACCTGGGGGTGTTCTTATGCCTGCCTCACTTACACATGGGCTTCCTAAACTGAGGGCAGTGTTTTCCTCAACCGTGTGTCTCAATGCAACCACAAGTGCACAGCCTAGCGTCCCACTCCTGCCTGTAAAATGTGGCAAAATCCTTTAAATTTGTGACTGCCACCAACAGTTTAAAATTTGTGAGAATATTATTGAATCTGTGCCCAAAGAAGGTAAACTCCATTTTCTACTTGTAACATGGACAAAATAGATTATGTGTCTTTTTTCTGGGTGATTTCATATAGAGCACATTACAAGAAAGTTCTAGAACCCTGTTGCCAGGTGCCTGAACTTTTAAGTGCAGTTTGCTTCTGCTCACTTCATGTGATGCCTTACATGCGTCTGCTACTTACGACAGGGTTTAGTTAGGCAAACTGACCATATTGACGCCTTAGTTGATAGGCATGGGGAATAAGGGAACTTGGTACCATGAATTATCTGTAATATAAAGTATCCAGTAAATAATTAATATAAAAAGTCTGTTCACAGAGAGAATAAATTGTATGCTCCCTCTGTAAGATGGAGGGTTGGAAAATATCCATAGGTTTATGTATCTTTATTAGAATTTCTAAAGAAGTTAAAGCCTTTACCTAAAACCTCAGCAAGCAAACTGATAACATCTTTTTATTTGGGGGCGGAGGATGCTGATACTATTACCAAGAATTGCACAAAATGTTATTTTATTGTTTGTTTGGATTTTTTTAGGTGCAAATATTTGTACATATAAGATTTGCTCTTCCAGTTTAAAATTATTCCAGAATAGTGGAAGAGTTAGAACAAATATAAATTATTTTAAAATATCTATTTTAATAGTACAAGGTGACTTACAGAATGTACGTACACAGTGAAAGTCCATGTTCATTCATGCAAAACCACTTATTGAGAGGAGCTTTCCATGCAAGGTATTGAGGTGATAAGAGGTTGGGGTGATTTCCATCTTGGTTTTTTTTTTTTGCTTGATCCTTGGTAAGGCTAGGTTTTAAGTGAATTTTAAATTCTATCATTAAAAGAATACAGTTCTAAAATAGATCTGGATTTTTATTATGTAATAAACTAAAATGTTCATATTCTAACATATCATCTGCTAATTGTCTCTTGCGTTCCGTCCCAGGACTGCTAACAGAACACGAGAATGTATATTGCTAATGTATTACCTGGAAAACATAAAAGATTTTGTGTTCTCTTATGCCCTGACAGGTTGGTACAGAGGATATACCCTCCAAAATAAATCTAAAAAGGTATGGCTTATCATTGAATTTTCTATTTCGTTTGAAATCTGTCTGCCAGTTTTGTGTTGTGCTGTCTGATCCCCTTATCTGCTCACTGTTATCTATAGACCTAGTTTGCTTTCTCTTTGATGGCTCTTCTTTTGATTTGAAAGCAAATTCTCTGGCCTCAGTGCTTAAGTGTAATAATGCAAATCCCATAAACTGTATTCCCCACCAGCCAATTCAAGGAGACAGTCATAGAGGACTACTTACTCCAAGCACAGTGGAAACACAGCAACACTGTTCTAGTGGGGTGTCTCTTTCAGGGAGGAAGGACCTGTGCTTCTCCCTCTGCCCTTTACTTCCAACACTAAAATCCCAGAACAAAAGGGTCTCCCAGTTTCCACTCAATTCTTTCCTTCTTTGTAAACTAGGATTAACCAAAGTAGTGGTTTTCAAACCGTGAGCCTTACAACCCCAATAAACATCATGAAATCAAGATATGGGTTATATCCAATATTTTCCAAAATATGAAACTGAAAAGTAGAGAAGAAAATAAGATGTAATGGTAAATATTATTTCATAAAAACTTTTAGGTATATATTTTTATATATTTTTAAATTATATTTTATATATTTTATGTGTAGTGCTAGGTTGCCATGAAAATGTGTCTCTTGCTGTTCCTCGTGGGCAGAGTTTGAAAAATACTGACCTAGACAGTTCTTTTTCCCTGTGCCAAAACTGCTAATCATCAGGCTAAAGAAAATCTATTAATTATGTTAATACCTCCCACAGTTTCTTTTAGGTCTTGTCAGCACTTTTTTTTGGATACCGCTCGCTGGGGCAGCGAAACATGTCAGCACTTTGTTTTGAAAGAGCAAGGTTGATAGGGCCTTATTATTTCCCAATTAGTTCGCACGCCAAAGAGCGAATTAGGAAAGGGATGAGAGAAATGTTTTAGAATTTATCAAAAGGGAGTAAAAAAAAGAACCCACAGTTTTTATTCTTTACGTATAGCATGAGATAGACATACTCCTACACAGGTAGGCTAGTGCTGGGCACCCAACTCTTAAAAGAGTACAGAGCCCAGAAAAACACCTTTCTACAAGGTATGGGCCATAAAAACCAGGACTGTTTTCTGTGTTTTTGACACTTAATTCACACCCAGTATTTGCACGTGTGTGTGCATGCACATTGTGTTAACTTGATAAACTTAATAATCTAGCAAAATAAAGGAGCTTCTAATGCAAGTATCAACTCCCACATTTTGGTCTTTTTGTCTCTGCCCAAACCCTGATACTGAATTTTTCTACCCATGGTTAGATTCTTGAGCCACGTGTCTTCTTTTCCAAACTAATTAATTTCTTTAACTCTCTTGCTGACTTCAGTTTCTCTGGGCCATCAGATAGAGACCTAAGAGGCAGACGTGCAGGAGTGAATGAGAACAGGATAGAACTAAAGGGAAGACCTTTCTCTGGGGACCCTCGGTGACATAGAGCATCTGGTGTACTGCCACTCCTGCATCTTGGCCCTGTTTAATTTGCCCTTAATGATGGAACTGGTAGTTACTTCAAAGCATGATTAGAGTTAACAGCTTTGAGGCCCTGAATTTGTTAAAGAGTAAGACTACTTACGTCACTTAATTCCTAATCCTTCTTTTTTAAAAAAAGTTAACTTTTAAAAATAAACAAACCATTCTCAGATAAAATCATGATGAACTTAAGGAACAAACAAAATTCTTGATTTTTTTAACTGATCGATGTCAGTTACGTTGAAACAAGGCCCTATACCACAGGTCTCCCTTTTTATAGGGTCTGTAGTATAGAAGATCCTTTTGATCATAGAAGACCTTGGTTTCTAAGGCATCCTGTGATTTCCTAATACTCATCCCTCTATGTTCCTGGGGGGTTGGTTCCAGGGCCTCCCTTGGATACCAAAATCCATGGATGCTGAAGTCCCTGGTCTACAATGGTGTAGTATTTGCACATAACCCACACACATCCTTCTGTATACTTTAAAGCACCTCTCGATTACTGATAATACCTAACATAACAATGTAAATGCTGTATAAATAGTTGTACCATATTGTTTAAGGAATAATGACCAGGAAAAAAGTCTGTATGCGTTCAATTTTTTTTTTCCCCAAATACTTTCAGTCTGCAGTTGGTTGAATCCACAGATGTGCAATCTACTATATGGATGGCTGAATATATAGAAATCCATCTAGCTAGTAGTGCCCCTGTTGTCTGCTTTGAAAAAAAGATGGATAGGGTACCCCACTAGGATCTAAATGACAAGTTCTGGATGTGTTTTTAATTTTTTTTGTATTCATGAAAGTGTTCTTAAAACCCTTTAAGCTTAAAACTTCACCCTTTAGAAGGATTATTTCAGTAAGAGCTCCTCTTTGTTCTTGATAATTAAAGAAAAACTTTGTATTAATAATTGAACAAAATGTTGGCACAAACAAGGGCCATGCATTTGTGTGTTGATTTTTTTTTTTTAAGTCGAAATATTTTTCTTGCGGAGAGATCTAGGAAAAACAGAGGGAATTGAAAATCAGTTGTCATGAATGATGCTCAACTTTTGACACCCCTTCATTAAGAGATCCGGCCCATTAGAAATGCTCTGTTAATGCTCTGTGCCTCATTTCCCGCTCCTTGGAGGAAGAGCTGCTTGAAAGGCCTATTATTTTAATGGAAATGCGTGGTGTCATTTATAAGCTGACCCAGCCATTTAGAGTGGTGATAAAAGGAGCTAGTGGTTTTACAAATTGAAGAAGCCAAGAGCTTTTCCAAAACTGATTATCGATCCTGGCAGGATTGTGGGTGGATGGGTAAGGGTAATGTCTAGAAACTCATTCATTTATTTTTTTATTCAAGCGAGTAGGTTGCATTGAGGAAAGAAAAGCAGAATTGAGAGAGAGACTGTAAATCAGAACTATATTACCCAGGCTCACTCTGGCTTTCTGTGTGTCGCAGTGGCATAGAAATTTGTCAGAGCAGTTAAATGACTGTAAATGGCAAGTGCCATCATGGAGAGATGATGCCTGCAAATGACAGAGTGGCATTAATAATACACCAAAGTAAATATTCACTTATTATGAAAATCATTGTGTCTGTACACCCAGTATAAATTATCTGCTTATGATCTGCTTAGATGTCACAAAATCCGTCATTGCTTATTTGTATTTCTGAATACTTTCTTGGCTATTTCCCAGTTATGAGGAGAGACCAGTCACCAGGTTATGAATGCATGAAAATTTTAATTGGTCCCTAACCTTCTTTTTTAAAAAAAATTTTTTTTGATTGCGGTAAAATATACTTAATCTAATTTATCATCTTTAGCATGGTTCTTTACGTTCTTGATTTGAAAAACTTTCAGTAAGGATATTCCTTTGGACTAGCAGTGTTACCTTTTATTTTAACCTCTGGATAACGGATCCTCATAACTAAATAGATCATCCCTATGCAGTGCCCTCCCCCGCCCTTTGTTTATGAGTCGTGGACATTTTTTTTTCATTGTGGTAAAATACACATAACATGAAATTTGCCTTTCGGACTGTTTGTAAGCGTACAGTTCAGCCGAATTAAATACATTCACATTGTCATGCAAGCATCACCGCCATCCATCTCCAGAACTTTCTCATCTCCCCAAACTGAAGCTCTGTCCCCATCAAACACATTCTCCTCCCTCCCGGACCCCAGCACCCCCCATTTGCCTTTCTGTCCATGAATCTGACTCCTGCAGGTGCCTCACAGAACTGGAATCGTACAGTATTTATCCTTTTGTGCCTGACTCATTTCACTGAGCAGCACATCCTCAAGGTGAGTTGACGACGTCCAAGCGTGGCTCTCCACAGAGATGACTGTCAACAAGTCATTTACCTCGGCTCGGCAGACGGAAGAAATTTCCTCGAGCATCCTAGGGACGGATCTGGAGCTTCAGAACACCAAAAATCAGGCCCCAAAAGAATTGCACACACAATTCAACTTTGGTTTGTTTTCATTGGTTTGATCGGTTTTCCAAAGTGGCTCTGCATCCTGTCCCCATAGTGAAAGAGGTCAGCATCCCCCTTTCTCTGTGTGTGTTCTTGGTCTTGTCAATAACGGATTGGAATGGTGCTTTCTCACACACACACCCCACGCCTGCCCCTTTCTCAAAGCGAAGACGAAGAAGGTGGCGCTTTTCTTTTGGATCCTTCTGCATGGTGGGCAAGGATGGCCATTCGCCTCTGACTCGGGCAGTTACAGGATCCGTGCTGTCATCACCAGTGCTGGGAGCAGCTTAATCTGAAATGTTCTTTCTGTTTCCTGTTTTATTGGCAAAGGATGAAAAGGGAGAAAGAAGAGTATTTCACAGACAATTATAGTACATGCCGCTGGACACAAGACCAGCCACTGTTGATGTTCTCTAATCTCTAGTCTCTGCGTGGAGTAAGGATCATGGTGTGCACACGCATCTTGGACCCCGGTCCTCTGGACAGTGGCACATCTCCTCCCACCTTTGTGGCCAGCCACCCCTGATGCGCGGTATCCACAGAGTTTGTGCCAACTCTTACAGGAGCGGAGCTAGGAACGATTGAGCCAGTGGTACCCACTACACGGGCTCTTCTATATAAAAATGCCACGGAACAAAGATCAGCACTGCCTTCTCCAGCTGGCGTCTTCTCTGCTTGTGGTTGAGCACATCATACAGTGATAAAGCAGAAGCTTTTGGTATTTAAGAAAATCCACATCTAGGACTTGCTTCATCTGGGTTAGATCTGGTCCTCAATTCTTCAGTTCTACCCAATGGGTTCCTGTCTTTTTCTTAGGTCTTTCTGGGCCTTAGTTTTTTTCCACCATGGACAGTATCATAATATCGACGTAGAATTGCGTCTTAGGGATATATTAATAGAATGAACAGCAGCTCGAGACTGTGAAGTGCTTTATAAAAATAACAGGTAACTGACACTCATTGATTTGGGTGCATTTGGTTTAAGCAAAAGTGGAATTACTTTAGAAAAGCACTCATTTTTTGGGCTACTGAGTACTGCATAGCCTCTGTCTCACTCATGGGAAACCCTTTAAGGGAAGCATCTCACGGCACATAGGATCTGAGCAGTTTTAGGAGCTCATCATTAAACTCTTTACCATTATCGTGGCTCTGAGCTGACCTGGGCATATTCGCCTCTTCATTTATGAAACAGTTATCCTGTGCTCTTTGAACCCAAATCTTAATTTCCACCTGTTCCATGTTTCCACCATGCCGCTGCCAAGGTGACCAATGTTACCAATGTCCTGCAGACCTGACCGCAAGGTTTAGCTATTGTCCAGGTGTTTCCCATTCATTCTTGCTGTCATTTATTCTCTTGACTTTGGGCGGAGGTTTTTTTATGGCCATCTAAACCAAAGTTCTTTTCTCTGTAGGGTATTTTCCCTGAAACGTATATCCATTTGAAGGAGGCAACTGTGGAAGACCTCGGGTAAGTTCTAATCTTGAAGATTCCTCACTAATAATGAAGATATAAAATTGTCATTAAAGAGTACCTTATATACATTAATACCTCATCAGTTCCACTTCTCCTCATATGAGTGAGAAATGAATAAAAACTTCTCGATGATATAATTCCTTCCTCTATCTTCTCTTTCTATAATTGCACCTGCCTGGCATTTTCCCCCAGAATACTAGAGACAGAAGTAATGAACTTGTATTTGCTACCTCTCACTGATTGCGTGTGTTGGGGATGGGGGAGGGGGTTGCATGCATGAACATTTGGAGCCGTTTGGCTGGGAAGTCCCAAGAAGCCCCCAATTTGGGGTCTTTGAGACATACATGAGTAAGCGACAGCCTGCACATACCTGCTCCAAGCCTGGGATAAGTCATTTTGCCTCAAGTGCACCCGGGTTTTTTTCAGTGCAAGTTGGGGAAAACAGTGTGGCCCTGTGTCGGTCAAGAGCTTGGAGTGAGGTTCAAAGGCCATACTGTGTGCGAATGTGCTTTGCAGATAAGATCTGTTATGCTTCGGCTGTTATTTCTTGCCTACCTCATTCATCCTGGGAAGTACTACCTTTGCGGTAGTTAAGAGTGAGATACTCAGCCCTAGTGACAGAGAGAGGTTACTTAGGGGGTGATTCTACAGGCCGGAGAGTTCTGGAGGCTCTAAGGAGGGGCTGGGGTAGGGCTGGAGTCCCAGGGCTAATGGGGCGGAGAGTGGGGTCGAGGGAAACAAAGGCAGCTGGGTCCCAGAGCCACACGGCCTCAAAGCTAGAAAGAACATTCTCAGTCGTAGATTAGTGCCAACATCTTATAGACCAGAGGTGGAGATGTGCCCAAATTCACACAGCTCTTTGTTGGCAGAAGCAGAAGCAAAAGCAGGTCTCCCCCCTGAGAAACCCAGTGGGCCATTGCTGGGCAGCCTCGACTGTCACTGCCACGTTGGGGGAAAGGCAGCGTGGGAGGTATATTCCCACTAATTAGGATTGCCAGATAAGGTGCAGGGTGCCCCATTACATTTGCGATTCAGATAACAAGTAATTTTTTGTAGTATGTCCCAGATATTTCATGAGTCATACTTACTCTATCTGTGGTGCAAACGTGCCTGGAAATTCTGCGTTTCTCCTTGTTGCATCTGGCAGTCCCACCACTGATCCACATTCGTTAGCTTGTTCTCACTCTCTCCTTTCTCCAATCATAAAAGTACCGGAGAGGATTTATGTGAATAAATGAATAAATGTAGTGCCTACTTTTACGTAAGTCTTCTGTGAGTAAGCGAGGACTTTGGTACATGTACGTTTTCTACTCTGTGAAACAGCAGATGAGATGATGACCCAGGACTGTTCCAGGAGGGGGGCTGCCTCGGACCCACCTGGCAGGTCCTGGGGGAGGTCACAGCCCTGGGACCGAGTGTGCCACACACACCTGTCCACCCACTCTCCAGAATGAGATGGCTGCTTGGCAGAACCAGCTAAAATGTGGGTTTTTTGCTTCCATCTTTGAGAACCAGTGAAGCTCGGGAATTGAAGCCCCCAAAGAGATGCACAATGAGGAGGTCCAGGCTGGGCGGTAGGCCCATTCCATGGCAGAAACTGAGTTCATTTTGGGGCCTGTGCTGTTTTAAGCTCTTTTCTCCCTTCTCAGGTGCTTAGAGGTGGTGAAGTCCCCTACACAAACCACTCCCCTGCCCCATGGACAGGTTTTGCATGTTTCAAGCCCAGCCAGCTCCAGTCTTGTCCTTGAGTGTCGGGGAGTGTGATCCCCGTCCAGGGACGTAGCGCAGTCTACCAGGAGTAAAGCGAGCATCCGTTTGGTTCTCCTTAGGCAACACGAGACTGTGATTCCCGGTGAGCTCCCCCTGGTGCAGGAGCTCACGTCAACACTGCGAGAATGGGCCGTCATCTGGCGGAAGCTCTATGTGGTGAGTTTCCCCCTGGACCTCGGAGCCCTGCTGTCTTTCCTGGGCCCACAGCCCATAAGTCCTCTGCAAGGTGTCGGCCTCTTATTAGCTGTCTTCATGGAGCAGGATGCATGTTCCCTGGAGCTCCCGTGGCCAGTAACCAGCAGATTCCCCTTCCGCAGAGTCAGGTTGCTGACGTGGGGAGTGAGCGTGATCATTAGCTCAGTCTCTTCTTGGCTGATAAACATGCTGATCGTGAAAATGACTGGGATCGTAATCAGCGCAAACACTTACGTAGTCCTTCTAAGTGCCACAAACTATGAATCCTCAAAATATTCCTTCAAAGTAGGTGCAATTATTACCAGTTAGTCAATAAGGAACTAGAGGGTCATGCTCTTATCTTCTCCATGTATACCAGCGAGTAGAAGTTTGTAAATGTTTCAGTGCTCAGCCATGGGAGGGTGGCATTCTTGACCGTGGCCAGTGTACCGTCCAGACGCAGAAATTCGAATAGTGCTAAGCGTGGTCTGAAAGCTGTCTTCTTAGGGCAGACTCACGGTACTCTTTCTCCCAACACGGGTTTGCCCACAGAGTGCTAATACCACATGCCGGCTCAGTGGGAAATGATACAGGAACCACCACGTCCTCTCCACGATAAATCATAATCACAAGTTGTGTGTAGGTTTGCAGTCAAGACTAAGTAAATCTAGCATTTAATATTGTCAGACTGAGAATAGCTATCTTGCCAGAGACCAAGAATGCTCAAAGTCTGTTGGCAACAAGTCTGCCACAGCTCCAGTCTAGGAAGCTCTTTCCTTGACATTGGAATCCAGAAAGACTGTTTATTCTAAAGTTGCCTCTTTCCTGGAGACCTCATAGTTATGATCTTGCCTCTGTTAGTGGCATTCCCGTATCTTCTCTCATTACACGTGTGAACGAGTTCATCGAGGTTGTAGACTAGACTTGGTGGCCCGAGAACCACTCTTTCCTTTATGTGGCTTTCCTTATCTAGGTTTTTGTTCAGTCATGTGTTGATTCTTCATTTTGACTCTCCAAAACTAATCTTAATAAGTTATTGGGAACATCTCAGTCTTGACCCTAAGTACTGAAAGCGGTCATCAAAAGCTCATTCTAGCATGACTTCTAAGCATCCGCGTCAGATGTTTCATTTTTAGTCCGAGCTGTTTTCCATGATGAATCACAGCAGTAGAAATCACCAGCCCCTTTGGTGGAAAAGCACATGACATTTCCCAACCTTCTCATCCTTCAAGACCTCGTTAAAGTGCTTTGTTCTTAATGTGTCTTCGAAACATAGCAATCTATAATGTTTCCTTCTGGATTATAGGAGCACTTACTGCTAAACCCATCATCTGACCCTGGGGACAGACTGCCTTGTAATAAAGGTGATCTTTTGATCTCTTTATGCTTAGTTGAGCAGAGTTAAGTTCCTAAATCATAAGGAGGATGGCGATGCTGCCGTCAGCCCTGCGGCCGGCAGTGATCACCTTGCATTATGTGGGAGCACTCTCCGTTTCTGGTTAATTGGTTGGTTAGTGGTAGATACAAGAAGATTGATAGATGAGGAATTGTGTGTACCTGGGTTTGGTCCTTAACATGTTCTTTCTGGAAATTGGTGAGTGGTGAAACATATTAGATAATAAATATCAGGAAAGGAGAGTTTTCTGTTTGGTTTTTTTTAGAGATGGGGTCTCGCTCCTTAGCCCAGGTTGGAGTGCAGTGGCACAATCATAGCTCACTGCAGCCTCAAATTCTTGGGCTGAAGCGATCCTCCGCCTCTGGCTCCCCAGTAGCTGGGGCTACAGGCATGCACCACCACGCCCAGCTAATGTTTTTTATTTTTTAATAGAGACGGTATCTCACTATGTTACCCAGGCCGGTCTCCAACTCCTGGCCTTAATGGATCCTCCTGCCTCTGCTTCCCAAAGTGCTGGGATTACAGGTGTGAGCCACCGCACCTGGCCAAGGAGAGGTTTTTAAAGACATATAAGAGTGGAGAGCATGAACAAGGTAGACTTTTTCTCTTACGCTGTTGTGCTCAGTTTATGTCTGTGTCCTCTGTACATCCACAAGTAATCGTGCCAGGGCTGCTATTGAATAGAACTGAGCAATAAGAGACTGAGGATGAAGAAATAGGACTCATGAATGCGGGCTGCCTACGTCCCTTAGCAGTGAAAGGTGATGAGCTCTTGTCCAGGATTTCCTGTGTGGGAGAGTTCACTAGCAGCATTGGGTTTTAAGTGGGGAGAGAAAAAAAAGCCATCCTCTCTCTGAGGGCAGCATATTTCTCATGTTAATTTAGCTAGCTAATAAACTAATTATTTTGGCATTTGTGAATATTTTGAAATGTCTTATAGCTGCTGTTGATTGGCTAAAAGCCATTCACTGTGGGAATTCTCAGCCAGTCATGGGGCTGGGCAGTCTGCTCCCGCCTTTGATATGTGATACCCAGTGAGGGGTAATCCACTTCAAATGGGCTTGTTGTTCATCATGGCTTTCTCGGTTTTTTTTTTTTCCCCCATTCTTTCCTAAAGCATTGACAATTCACTTTAGGGAGAATTTCTGAACTTCTTTCTCGAAAATTTGCATGTCAAAGTAACAAACCTCAAATATTCTGTTTCACTGGGAAACAAGTAAAAGATACCCAGACCTCTAGTTTTCACGTCCCACCCACTCCTTGTGCATTTGTATTGATGGTTTTGTTTTCTGATTCTGTATGTAAATAACTTCAGGCTATGTAAAGATAAATATAGGTCCCGCTAGTATAAGTTGTTACTTTCACTTTTTCTCTCATGCATTTCCTCCCACAGATTAAGAAGCCAGGAATTCTGTTCAATATCTTTTTTAAATTCTCTAAAATATATTTCTTGGTTCTGTTCTTTTCAGTGTAAGTTCACCAGAAATTTATATTGAGGATCCAGAGTCTTCTATGAGGGGAAAATGGAATCCACTAACCAGATTAAGCCCAGCTGTATTGACATTGGTGTTCATTCTAGAAATGCTGGGCACAGTGGCTCACACCTATAATCCCCGAACTTTGGGAGATCAAGGCAGGAGGATCACTTGAGCCCAAAAGTTCAAGACTAGCTTGGGCAACATATTGAGACTCTGTCTCTACAAAAAGTAAGAAAAATTAGCTAGGTGTAGTGGCAGACGCCTGTAGTCCCAGCTACTCAGGAGGCTGAGACAGGGCTCAAGGCTGCAGTGGGTTATGATGATGCCACTGCACTCCAGCCTGGGTGGCATAGCAAGACCCTGTCTCAAAAAAAAAAAAAAAAAGGAAAAATGTTTGTCTAGCTGTGATTTATTTTTAGCAATCGTGCAGTAACCATGTGAAATAATCATAAATATATCTTCAAGGGGAGAAGAGTATCTGCCCCAAACAGAGGGCAACCCACTCATCCAAAGTAGGAAGCAGAGTGTTATATTAGTGTTACTGTTTTCTGCTGAATTATCTTTCCTGGTGGTGTTGGTCTTGTGACATGAGCACATTGTAGGAGTCGACGCTGGCCTTGGAATAAGGAGGACGCTTCGGGTCCCACGCACGCCCTGTCCCAGGGAGCTCTGTGTTCTTGGGCAAGTCACTTGAAATCTTTCTGCCCCTCTGCAAAAGTGATGTAAAAGCTGCCTTGTTGAGCCCACGGAGCTGTGAGCATGGAACGGATGGTGGTCGTGAGCCATTCTGCAGACAGACCATCAGGATTCTACATGTGGGAGCCTATGATTCTTAGTGTTATCTCAGCTAGAAACGGCAGCCATTCTAGTCCGTTCTCCCTGTGGGCAGCCTTGGTGCAGCTTCCCTCTCACCCGACTGGTGCCCAAGACTCTGCAGCTCCATTCTCTGCGCCCTCCCCCTTATCGAAGGTCACTCCTTTGTCTTGTATAATCGTCTTAGGCAGAGTGGCCTTGAGCACTCAGCAGCCAGGCTTGGTTTCTCACCATAGATAGCGAGGCCCCTTGGTTTAAGTTCAAATCCAGGAGGCACAAATCCTTCCAGAATGCAGAGTGCAGGTTCACAGCAGTTTCTGGTGAGCTTTGCCTGCCCTGCTATCCCTCAGTTGGAGCTGTCACAGGGTGTGTTCTCTGTGGGTGATCGAGAGAGGAGGAAACGTGCTCAGGGAGGTCACCTGGGGAGGTGCCAAGACCTTGGATGTTGAGGTCGGAGAGGCCGGCCAGTTCTTAAATTCTGGCTCACTCCCTTACAGGGTCTGCACTTTTATATTCAGAAAAAATAACAAACCCAGTAATAGTCACTGAAAACAAACAAACCCAAACAGAAAGAACTTGGATTTGGAAAGCTACTAGCCGATCCTGCAGCCTGAGAGACAAGTCCCTTTATCTCCTGAGTTTTATTTTCTTCTCCTGAAGTGTGGATGATATATAACATACGCCTTGCAAATTTACTGTAGGAATTCAGTGGGATAATCTGTATAACACTGCCAGGACGGTACCTGGCACACTGTCGTCAATAAACCATGGCCCCTGACTGTCCCCTGGCAGCTCTGGTTCTTGAAAGAGTTGATTGATAATGAGAAGTGTCAGGAGAAGAGCAAAGTGACATGGTGGCATCTGCCCTGAGGTCGTGCAAGGGTGCGCTTGCCTACTCTTCATTTTCCCCAGCCTTGGAAAGTGGATCCAGTGAGGTGACCTTTGGCCTCTTCTCCTTTCCTGCTGCACCCCCCACCCCGCCTCCACGTGAGGTCCCCCTGCTAGATGGGTGGATGCCAGTGCGCTGGCATAGGCGTGGTTGCGTTCGTGTAATATCTAACTTTGTCTTTCCAGTAACAAGCCAGCTATACTTCTTGAACATCAACAATTCTACCTTCCAAGTCATAGTGTCCTGTTTTCTCAACTAAAAAATTGACAAGTTTCAAATGTCCTGGGAATTCTATGATGTTTGGTTGATATATACTGTGTCACCCTGTGATTTAGCTTAGCACTCGCTGTCCCCACCTTCCAACGGGAGAAAGCATTCAGTGAGTAGTGGTCGTTCAGGCTGTTTT